ACCGCCATCCCTGCAGTCTGGGGTGCTGCCCATGAGCCGTCTCAGAACTGGCCGTGTTCTCGCTGGCAGCGCTGGCAGGCATCGCCCGTATCCTGGGTCCCATCATGGGCTACATGCTGGCTTCCGCCTGCATCTCCGTCTACGTGGATCCAAACATCGATCCAGGTAGGTCGCGTGGGCCATGGTCTGTGTACTTGTTTGCCAAGACTTAACTTCGATCGCGCTATGATGCCAAACTCCAAGTCTTTTCCAGAAGTGTCTTCAAAGGATGACACATTTGAGACACGGAGGTTCTTTGCGCGTTGTGACTGATATCGGTACCTGTCTTTGATTTTGATTCTGCGATTCACACTTGTCATTACACTTGTCAACGAACTTCCCGCGAACGCAATCATCAGGTGAGTGAAAGTCTGTAAGCGACATGCAACAATGTACATCTGCCCGAACTCCACCACTGCTGTGGTCCTGTGACGTCAGGCCGCATGGCATGGTCTGAGGACGCGTCTGCCAGGAGTCTGCCAGGAGTCTGAGACTCTGACAGGCTCTCTGCGGGAGTCTTCACCAGTCTGTGGCTAGCATTGCAGGCGCTCCTTCATCGAGGCCCAGTTCAGAGTGTCAGGCTGACGCGCGAGAGGTGTGGACGCGACGGCCGTTGTCAGTTGGCACCCCGCAGACACTGCCAAGCGGGACCAGCGCTGAGTCTGTGTCTGGTCCGTCCTGCCCGTGATGACCCTTGACCTGACCCGTCCCGCCGCAGGCATCACCAGGCGAGACCAGCGCTGGGTCGGGCCGACCCGCCCTGCCATTGATGACCCTGACCTGATCCGTCACCGCCGCAAGGCATCACCAAGCGGGACCAGCGCTTGGGTCGGCGCCTGGCTCGGCGTGCCCGTGATGACCCTGACCTGACACGTCCCTCTACAGGCATCACCAAGCGGGACCAGCGCTGGATTGGCGCCTGGCCCGCCCTGCCCTTGATGACCCTGACATGACCCGTCCCCGCCGCAGGCATCACCAAGCGGGACCAGCGTTGGATCGGCGCCCTGGTGGATCGGTCTGCTGGTGATCGCCCGGCCTGCTGACGCTGTACGGCTGGCTCATATCGCTGTTCCCGCGCCACCTCAGCAGGGACCACCTGCCGGCGGCCGAGCGGCGCCGCCTCGTCGCCAGTGACGCCAGCCAGCGGCCCTCCAGGCAAGGTGCGCCGCCCGTGTTGGCTCACCGAATCAACATCAAGTGCAGGGCACGTGTCGCAGCATTGGCAGGCCCTACAAACAAGGTGCGGAGCTCGTGTCAGAGCTCGCGTCAGGTACGGAGCTCGTGTCAGGTACGGAGCCCGCGTCAGAGCTCGTGCTAGGTACGGAGCTCGTGTCAGGTACAGAGTTCGCGTCAGAGCTCGTGTCAGATATGAAGCTGGTTTCAGATCTCATGTTATGTACGGAGCTCGTGTCTCGTGTCGTACTCATCGTTGAATCCTTCTAACAAATAATCTCCCAAGTGTCAGGTCATTTAACTGGCTTACAAACAAGGTAACGAACACATGCTACTTTAAGTCAGTACGGTGGCCTTTTAAAAGGTATTCATCACATTAAGGCCTGTAATACCTAGCAGAGCGGTGGTTTGAACTGATGTTCTGATGTGCCAGAGCGGTTGTTTGAACTCATGTTCTAACGTGCCAGAGCGGTGGTTTGAACTGATGTTCTGATGTGTCAGTTAGGCCAGAGGTGATGTCATGGATTTTGAGGCGAGAGACGACAAACTTTGTTCTCATTTGTTCTCTTCACACAGAACCTCCTGAGCATTGTCGTGTTCGAGGATGGTGACACGTGTTCATTTGTAAAATTTCTAACACGTGTATCATATCCACGTGAATAACTGCCGTCAGCTAAAACATCCGAATGTAGACTTGGTTCTAAATACAGTGGGATTCTCTATTAAGCAAGGGGCCTTTCTATCTCAAGACAGGGCTTCCTGTTGAATAAACAGGTTTTATGATGCGTGAAGAGCTGCCTAATCCAGGACAGTATCCTGCCGATTCACAAAGGGGCCTTCCAATCCGGCAAAGGCCCCATTTCCTCAAAACAGAACGTCTTGATTCGGAGCAGCTACCTTCTGGCGCACGAGAGAGGCCTCCTGGCCTTGGATACGAGCCTCCTCATGTAGACGGATCAATCTGACAATAAATAGGGGACTCCAGGCAAAACTAGTTCAACATATCTCCCATAATGTTGCTCCATAGCCAGCAAGGCAGCTTCCTGAACACAAAACGGAGAGAAAAACGGCCCGTCCTGATCTGATCTAATCTGAAAGTTATCCAGAGAGCAGAAAAGGATCTTTTCTTAAAGGAACCTTTTGTCCTTCACCTTTTAAATCTCTCCATCTAATTGAAATATGTTATACTTCCGCTCTTAAAGCAGCCCGTCTTCCTGCCATCCAGCTCAATACGGTGACCTGCTTGATCCGAATTCTGATAAGACATGTGCAGCTACAAATCTTAAGTTTTGGTAAAATGGGCTTACCAGCATCTTGAGGGATAAAGCTTACTCTTACCCCTTCCCCCATCCAGAGCAGTAATTACCTCCTCAGCCCCCTCCCCTCCTGCTGCTCCACCCCTCGGTCAGGCTGCCCCCGAATGATCCGGGCAGGACACGGTACGACACTTGATCACGTCCGCACCGATCTTTGCGACTGGCATTTGTGGCGCAACTCGTCTATCCCTCGGCATTTTCAAAGGCCGGTGTTTGCGTCCTTTATGCTTGCTAACTAGCATTAATGCCCACAGATACTATGCTTGAATGCTTGCTTGCCGTAAGACACGCTGAATGCTTTAGGGCTGCATTCATTGAGAATCTGCGCGTGATTGTTGCTTGTTCAATGTCTTGACATTCATTGAGGGTAATTCAGCGTGCGAGATATCATACCGTTTACCAGTGCCAAGGCTTGTAATGCTACGCAACGCCACGTTTAAAACGTTGAAGAGCGTGTTTCCTTTTTCCTGTCTTAATGAGCAGCTGATCTCTTGGCTGGTCTTGAGTAGCCACTGACTTTTCTCCAAGCTCTCTGTGTGCCACCTTCAGCCGTGCACCACTGACGAGTCTGACCATTTGGCAGAGTTTGTCAACCGCGCCCCTTCGCCTGCTGAAGAACCCGGTGCTGATGGCCTGCATCATGTCCAACTTCTTCTTCTTGATGTCCATCATCGGGTTCTACGCCTACCAACCCAAGTACCTGGAGCACCATTTTCGCGTCAATAAGGCCACTGCCACCACCTACTCAGGTCAGACCTATCACCGGCCCAGCTGCCACGGTGTGTTCCTTTCGTGGGCGTCCTTACGTCGTCCTACCATTTATCGCCGCCACCGTGGCCATCCCTCGCTATCCTTCTCTGCACGGTAGCGCGTTGATCCACGGCTCTGCACTCACCGGCGAGCCTCGTTTTCAGTTGGAGCAAGTGAGTTGTGTTTTCAGCGCGGCATTGGTCGGCAGTTGGCCGCCTTGACGGAGCGCGAGACATGCTCGTCAAGGTCAAGGACGCGTGCGCGCAAACACGCGCAGGTAAATACCGGAGTGCGCACGCGACGAACTACGTGCGATCCTCTCCGACGCTGAACCGAACGGGCACGTGTCCACGCAGGACACGGGATTCTTGGAAAGAGATGATCCAGCTTTCAACAAGCCTATTTTCTGAAATGTTTATCGGACATGGCTTTCAGCGTACCCATGTGTGTACGAAACGCAGGTTCCCGTCCGACTCCCACGGACAGCTGGCTTATTAGATCGGGCTTGACGTGTGCTCGCACGAAGCGCGCCCCATGACATTAGCTGAAAGGTCGGCGCCAGAGGGCCGCGCTTGGATAGCGTGTCGCAGAGCCTTTCTTTACCAGGGCTTGGATACAGGACCTAGATCATCCGGAGTTTAAATACGGGACCTAGATCATCCGGGGTTTAAATACAGGACCTAGATTGTCCGGGTTTAAAGACAGTGCCTTGCTTCGTCAAGGCTTAGATACGGGGTCTAGGTCTTCCGGGGTCTAAAGACAGGGCCTCACTTTTCAAGGATCTAAAAGCTGGTCCTGTCTTGTGTCAGGATTTAACGACTTTATCTGGACCTGAAAGCAGGACCTTGATGTGCCGGGATCTAAAGACAGGTGCCTGTTTTTTTCGGTATCTATAAACAGGGCCTTGATCTGCCGTGCTCTGAATGTAGGGGAATGCTGTGCCGCGATCTGAAGCATGACAAAACATTCGGATAGTGGGCTGCCGCAGAATGAGCCAGAACAGTACTGGGAGCGTGCGACAAAACTGACCCGCAGGTGCGCCTACACGTGGGTGTTACGCGTACCCTGTTCAACCTATGACCAGCCCGCGGGTAGTTTGTCAGCCAGTGATTCCAGATCACGGTAGACAAACGTCGTTCTCCAGATTCGAGATGATGACCGAACAGAGCCTTGCTTTGATAACTTGCTGGGCTGTTCTGGGACGAATCTCTAGACCCAGACCGCACACGGCCATTTATTCACCGCACGATTCAGAAGCGCGTGCGCATGTGTTCACATTACCCAGCTTGCGTGTGGTGTAATGACGAGGCGACTCGCTGGAAATATACCTTACCTATCTGCCCTATGTCATGCAACAACGTCGGACCCATTTTTATCAGGCATTTCGGTCCTCCGTCACGCACTTCAGCTGATTAGTTATCGAGCGTCGTGAAAGAACTATCACTGCGACGGTCTGACAGCCCTGGTGTTAAGTCACGACATGTATTTCTGGGACCACCGACCGCCGCCCACTGTCGCGCCACCTCAGCACGTCCTCAGCGACGGGCTCCTGATATCTCCCGCACCGTACCGCACCAGGCGGAAAATAAACGGTGGCGCCCCCCCCCCCCCCCCCAGATAATCTCTATGTTCGTCCGGCCGGCGGGCGCCCTGCTCAGCCTCTGGGCGAGGTCAGATGACATGTGACCTCGACCCGGCAGCGGTCAGCAAGGTCACGCTGGTGTTCGGCATACTGGGCTCGGGCCTGCTGATGCGCCGCTTCCGGCCCTCCGGCCGCCTCGTCTCGGGCCTGATCGTCGCGTTCAGAGTGGTCGGCGCCTTCGTCTTCCTCACCAACTTCTTCTTCTACTGCAACTTCGGCGACGATCTGCCCGTCATCCGCGGACCGAACGGGTGAGACGCCCGCCAGCGGCGCGCCAGCCCCGGCTCGCTGTGTGTGCGCACCACAGTAAATTTTGATTCACTGAGGCATGCAGCGAGCTTTTGCACTTTTTGTAACTATTTGACTTTTTAACTTAAGCTTTAACGCCAGATTTTTGGTAGCGGATCTTAACATGCCGCTATGCTCGGCGCTGTGCGTCCCGCCCTCTGGAGTCAACTGACCTTTAGCACGGCCGTTGTCACCGGCCGCAGGCTTTACCTATCCAGGGTAAATGGCGAGCACTTAAAGCGACTCGAACTCCCCCGCCACGGGTGAGTAGGTCGGCAGGCAGGTCCTCCAGCCAACTGAACTACCGGGATATGTAACTTTAAATATTTGTATAGTCTAACCACGGGTAATCTACAGAAAGGAGCAATAACGCAGTATCACATAAAACAGGGCCTTTGGTCGGGAAAAGCATTTAACAAAATTAGTCCTAAATGCACCACATTAACTCTACATTTTGAGCACGAGCCTGCGGAAGCAGCTCTATCATAGATACGAGACAGTTATGCGCCCTGCATGTTTCCCAACAGCGTCCAACGTCCAAATTCGTAAGGCGATCATTGTTGTCATGAATTTCATTAGCTTGTATTGTGTGAAATCTGCGGGAGTTGTCAAACCGTCCAGTCTCTTTTCGTGCTTGGCGCTATGTTTGACGGCTGTTTGTCTGTAAAATGCATCATAATAGTGCTTGGCATAAATTCCGTCGGCGACTTGATGCAAGGTCTTACGTTGCAGTTTCGCGTATATAGCATTATCACATTATCACAGAGCATTATCACAGAGCATTATCCGCAGGTCCAATATAGAGCTGGCTTAGGCTGCGGGAATTGCGGTTTTCCGTGGCTTGGTCTGACCTGAAATGGAGGCTGCTCCCGATCGTGCCAACGACTGGTGACGCCTTTCACATCATGTCACATTACTTTCGCTCACACACCACGTCATATCACGTCCGATGCCCACACCACGTCACACCACGGCCACTGTCACATCACGCCACATCATGCCTCTGCGTCACAGCAACCCACGTCACGTCCGTTGATACATCACGTCACGTTACGGTCCACTTTGACGCCACGGCCGCCGTCACATCACGTGTCCGCTGTCATGTCACGTAATGCTGCTTCCGCCGCAACATAAGTGACCACCGCGCCTGCTGCCGGCCAGGAGGTTTGGACATCTCCTCCGAGTGTAGCACCTCCTGTGGCTGCACCACCGAGGAGTACATCCCCGTCTGTCACCGGGCCGGCGAGGCGTCGCGCTCCTACTATTCTCCCCGTGCCACGCGGCTGCACCACGGCGATCAACGGACCAACAAAAAACCCCACACCACCACACCACGACCCCTACAACCGACTGCAGGTTCGTGTATGTGAGTTGGAGATTATGCATAATATCCCCGGCACCAACTGCGCGGACAGCTTCTGACGCTCATTTAAAACTTCATGACCGAACACCCAGCACAGAGGAAAGATGCTTCTGGCTGACGTTAGTCCAAACAATATATAAACTCGTAGATGGTTCATGAATCTACTCTGAGTGGTGTGGTGTCAGCTATCGGAGTCGAAGTCGGGAGACAGTACTATTCGCTCCCCGGTGGTATGGTGTCAGCTATCGGGAGCATGAGTCGGGGTCAGTCCTGCTTTCTCTCCCATGGTGTGGTGTGAGTTATCGGGGGTCTAAGTCGGGGACGGGTGGTGTCAGTTATCGGGGGTCTAAGTCTGGGACAGTCCTGCCCGCTCCCCCGTGGTATGGTGCAGCTATCGGGGGTCTAAGTCGGGGACAGTCCTGCCCGCTCCCCTGTGGTGTGGTGTCAGCTATCAGGGAACTAAGTCGGGGACAGTCCTATCCGTTCCCCTGTGGTGTGGTGTCAGCTATCGGGGGTCTAAGTCGGGGACAGTCCTGCCCGCTCCCCTGTGGTATGGTGTCAGCTATCGGGGGTCTAAGTCGGGGACAGTCCCGCCCGCTCCCCTGTGGTATGGTGTCAGCTATCGGGGGTCTAAGTCGGGGACAGTCCTGCCCGCTCCCCTGTAGGTGGTGTCAGCTACTCGGGGGTCTAAGTCGGGGACAGTCCTGCCCGCTCCACTGTGGTGTACTGTCAGCTACTCACGTCTAGGTCTCCGCTGACATTCTCTCACGTGTCAGGGGTGCGGAGCTGAAGCCCCTCCGCCGTATCGCCAGGCGTTCTCGACCGACACGTGACTAACCCCGCCCTCGCCACTCCGCCGGACGCAAGACGTTCATCATCTTCTCCTCCGACGTGCCGGCAGGTGCCTGGACGACGTCGGGGCCACCCTGGCCAGCGGCCTGTGCCAGGGCGGCTGTGAGCACGCGTTCCACTGGTTCCTTATCATGGTCGCCATCTCCGGCATGATTAAATCCGCCGTCTCCATTCCACATGTCATCATCGTACTCAGGTGAGGATAGTTCAGCGGCCACGGCGTAGGACGGCTGTGAGCCTCAGGCCCTGATACCGTGGGCAATAGCGACATGTTAGGAGGCATTCTGTATGACCGGGCCTGCCCTTTACGATCGTCATTTTAGTTGTAGAATACGAATAAAAAACGAATAGAAATCGAGAGTGCAGCATGTAGTTCTTCGCACAGCATGCCATCCAGCTGGGGTGTCGCGCCAACAGGTCTGTTTTGTGTAGCTGTCGGGACACGGTACTCGCCGACTAATTCACACGAGTACGAAATAGGATTATCTGGTGGGCTAAGGGTTACACAACTGCAAACATCGCTGTCCCGTAGTTGCTTTCAAATTCCATTGATGCTAGATGTGACGGATCAAACGTGCGCAATGATGTCAAGGAACTGTTGGGCGTACAACTGACCTTCTTCACCGCAACCAGGTGGCAGGGTGCACGGTTAACATACCATGACAAACACTTCCCGTTTCCGAGCTTAAGTACCTTCGCGGGCTGAAATTGGCCTTGCTGTGACCTTACTGTGAGCTGTGACGTGAAATAAGATTGGCGCAACCGACCCGGAAGCTCTTGTACGTGGCATTGGTGGGAATAGCTGCACGTGTGAAGAAAACGTGCGTAGCACGTGAGTTGGCTGATATAATGGGATCGTCCAAGAATAGGCACAGGTTGTACGAAACTAACCGAGCTAAGAGCGATGGTCAGCAATGCCATTTTATCTCACGCTGAACGCCATTGTGACTCTAGAACAGCCTTGCAGTCGAATGGAACGAGGACCTCTACGACTCCATACCGTAGCTTGTCGCTCTCCCCTTTCCTCCCCGCCACCACCGGCACCTGTAAGGCGCGCTCCGCCGAACAGTCGCTCCTGGGGGCGCCGGCGCCAGCGGTTGTCACCCCAACGACCGGCGATCGTCGCTCCAGCGGCCGGCGGTCCCAGCCTCGACAGGACGCCGTGCTCGGACCCGACGCGCGGAGTCGGCCCCCCTCCCCCTGAGCAGCACCGCTGGCCGTCAGGTGCGTACTGCCCGAGGACAAGGCGATGGCGATGGGTCTCAGCGGCGCGCTGGTGGCCATCTCGTTCGGCGCCGGCCCGCTCATCATGGGAAGCCTGGTGGACCACGCGTGCCTCGTCTGGGAGCAGTCATGCGGCCACACGGGCGCCTGCTGGGTCTACGACCCCGACATGCTCAGGTACGCCCCGTCAGCGGACGTCGCGGTGATCCGCGGCAGTATGGCGTGGTGTCGGGGCGTGGACCGAAGAAAGCTGTCCCGATCGGTGTGGCGTGATGTCGGGACGTGGGGCCGAAGGAAGCTGTCCTGTCGGTGTGGCGTGGTGTCGGGACGTGGGCCGAAGAAAGCTGTCCCGGCCGGTGTGGCGTGATGTCGGGACGTGGGGCCGAAGGAAGCTGTCTGTCGGTGTGGCGTGGCGTCGGGACGTGGGGCCGAAGAAAGCTGTCCCGATCGTGTGTGGCGTGATGTCGGGGCGTGGGGCCGAAGGAAGCTGTCCTGTCGGTGTGGCGTGGTGTCGGGACGTGGGGCCGAAGGAAGCTGTCCTGTCGGTGTGGCGTGATGTCGGGACGTGGGGCCGAAGGAAGCTGTCCTGTCGGTGTGGCGTGGCGTCGGGACGTGGGGCCGAAGAAAGCTGTCCCGATCGGTGTGGCGTGATGTCGGGACGTGGGGCCGAAGGAAGCTGTCCTGTCGGTGTGGCGTGGTGTCGGGACGTGGGGCCGAAGGAAGCTGTCCGATCAGTATGGCGTGATGTCGGGGCGTGGGGCCGAAGGAAGCTGTCCTGTCGGTGTGGCGTGGTGTCGGGACGTGGGGCCGAAGGAAGCTGTCCTGTCGGTGTGGCGTGGCGTCGGGACGTGGGGCCGAAGGAAGCTGTCCTGTCGGTGTGGCGTGATGTCGGGACGTGGGGCCGAAGGAAGCTGTCCCGATCAGTATGGCGTGGTGTCGGGGCGTGGGGCCGAAGGAAGCTGTCCTGTCGGTGTGGCGTGGTGTCGGGACGTGGGGCCGAAGGAAGCTGTCCTGTCGGTGTGGCGTGCGTGGCGTCGAGGCGCGGGCGAAGGAAGCTGTCCCGATCGGTGTGGCGTGGCGTCG